CTTATGGATTAAAATAAAAATCGCTCGATGAGTAAGCTGCATCTTGAAACCCATCAAAAAGAAAATGTTGCAACCTTTTTTAGGCCCTGAGTGTACACGTTTAAAAAAAAAATTATATATATATATATATGTATATGTGTATTTTAAAAAACTTTATTTCTTAAATACGACCGAGCCCTGTACATTATAAGATATTGACAATTTTTATATTACTTTATATTACGTGAAACAAAGTAAAATCCAATTAGAATTTCGTCACGGAATTAATAAAATAATTTTTCATATCAGATATTTTCTCAAAATTTTAATGATACCGTGATACATAATTATATCGTGATACATCGAAGGAAATATTTGAGGTTTATTTATTTAATTTCAAATATTTCTTATTAACTAATGTACTGACAAAAGACAAGAGATAAAAATTGATTTTTACTAGCGTGATTTTTTTTACATAGTTGCTCACGTGAAGTATTTGTGACATCTCAGCATTATATTTCAATTTTTATTACTTTTTTTATTGATTTATAATTGAATAAAGATTGATAATATGTTATACATTTTTTAAATAAAGATAGATGCAAACATTTTTTTTAAACTATAAAATAATTTGGACTAAATAGAATAATATGTATGAATAGTATTTATATGTATACATTTAACGATAAGTAATTTAAACATAATTTACCTATTACTTTTCCTGGATTAAGAATGCAAAATAAGAGGTGAATGATAATTACCATAAACGATACGAAAGTAACAAAAAGCCGTAAGGCATCAATCCTTTAAATACAATGTGTGCATTGGGCGGATTTCGTGTAATAAAAAATTATATTATATAACAAACTAATAATCGCTTAACATAATTGGAATATCCAAAATATTCATGAACTGAATGTGTGCGTAACGAATGTGAAAAGTGAAGCAAAAACCGTGCAATGAAATATATTAATTGGAGAATACTAAAAATGTAAAGGATATATTATATTATTTTACTTATTTTGTAAAATACGCGTTAATATTTCGACACTTAGTATGCGATTGGTATGCGGCCTTGGAATTGTTTCGATACGGAAGGACGAACGGGCCGGGTGACGCGTCATGTTTACGCGCAGTCATTCTATTACTGTAGCTCGTACAAGCAGGCCGCGTGCTGCTCTTCTTCGCATTTTTTTTCGTAACGTAGTGATAAATGCTAGATAATATAGAAACGTATCTTATGAATATTCATAGTGTATGATTATTAACTCGCATGATTAATTCATATAAGGAATTTTTCAGATATTTTCCCTCCCACGGGTACACCTTGACGTGGTGAGAGGGCTCAGTACCTGGAGGATATACACGAAAAGAATAATTTTTCTCAAGTATCTAAAACTTTCCCGATCTATCTGAATGATATATCTAAATGAATTTTTAGATATTGAGTAAAATCGTTCTTTTCATGTAAAATCGAAGGGGAAGCTAACGTACCCTCGTCCGCCGAATTAATTGAAAGTGAACGAACCGCAGCCGGTTCGTCGCGTCGCGCGTTTGCTCGGGAGTGTCGTTAAAGTTATCGGACTAATGGACTTTTGACAAAACCCATTCGAATGGCATTCTAGTTCGACGATGAAATCATATCTTCGATGTGCCGACAGGAAAGCGGAACTCTCTTTGGGACGTTGCTTAGGTGGCCACGGTTACTGCAACGCTCTCACGCCAAGTGCTCCGGGCACGAGGTGATGCCGGCCGCGTAATGTCACGCACTTCGTGTGCGTGTTCGCGCGGTTTAGCAACTACTGTTGCTGTCGGCTAATTGAGGACACGCTCTGTCTGCCGACAAACGGTTCG